TTCCTCTTTTTTTGAGCCTCTCGTTTCTTTATCTCCACAAAAATTAAGAACTCTTAACTGAGGTGATGCCCTATAATAATCAAAGGTACTTATAGTGTTAGTAGAGCACACTGACCAAACCTTTGTAACTCTTTCTCCCATCCACTAACAACAGAGAGAGGACATATGACAATGAATGGAGGAGGAGGAGAGGAGGAAGCATCTCATAGATAAAGTAGTAGAGCTATGGACTATAAAAACAATCATATTTCTATGTCAGTCGGTAATGACACTTTTATTTTTAAAGAGGCCTTTCCATCTGTAATTACAAGGCTATTTGTCAGGCAGTCTTTTTTTCTCTCATGTGTATAGACAATTATAAAAATGCTCAACCTACAAGAGGGTAACAAAAATTTACAAGAGAGTTTAAAAAAAACGTAAGACACTGAGAAAGATTGGGCTTTATTAATTTAAAAAAATTAAAATGTGTAGTTTTATGAGCCCAGCAACCTGACAGATAGCTAGTATTTTAAGCAATATTATTATTATTATCATCATTTTATTGGTTAAAATTCCTACCTGAAGTGTTTTCCCTAGTCCCATTTCATCCCCTAAGATACAGCCATGCTGCCCCCTCTCATGACACTCTGATAACCACTTGAGACCTTCCAGTTGGTGAGAGCGGAGAGCAACATTCTTCAGACCCAGTTCCTGACAGTATTCCTGTGATATAGAGTAGTGATCACCAGTAGCTTTGGTTTTGGTGAGTTTGTTAAGCTGTCTCAAAATGTGGTCCATTATTGATTAATTACAGAATTGCAGAAAATGGGTGGGGCTGGAGGCAAGGATCTAACATGGTACGGTACTGTAGGGACCTCTTCTCTCTCAGGAATTGATTGGTAAGGGTATAACAAGTAATATAGGGATTGTGCTGAAGATATGGGTAATGATACACATGTGGCTCAATAATTGTGTCCGAAAATGTAATAAAAATTAGGGGTGATTTTGGAGCCATTCAGTTATTTTTGAAAAAAGCATGGGCTTTAGTAGATCTACAGGGTATTTTTGAGGAATTGTCCGATTGTAATAAAGGGCCATAACTCAAAAACTTTTAGGCAGAATCACCTTTAATGCATAAGTACATCAATATGTATCAGAAAATATATTAATAATTGGTTGGGATGTACGCGAGACTAGTTGGGATGTGGGAGCCATTTTTTAAATCATAGACTATAGTACAGGGTATTTTGCATATTTCTTACTGACCATAACTCAAAAATAGAAAATGTAAGTGTAATGTGAAAGATACTCCTCTGTCTCTCTGTATCATTAGCAAGAACAAGAGCCCATTATACAGCAGAGGATGCAGCAAGCAGTTGATGAAGTAAAGACTAAATGATCAGAAGACAAGCAGAAAGAATTAATGGATGCCAGCAGACAATTTAGGGAAGCACTGAAAGAAGCTAGTGAACAATCAAACTCAAAAGAATTAGAGAGAGATGGAGGGAGCCTGGGAGAAGAAAATTGAAATTGTTCAAGTATTTATGAGTGTACAATGTACATGTCTTATAAACTCTTATTTCTTTTGATTTCCGGCCCTTGCATGTCTGTCTCCTCTCTCTCTCTCTCTCCCTTTCTCCTTTCCTCCCTTTCTCTTATAGAATTGTTAGAACTGTGGTTGGAAGCGGGCTTAGGATATACAGTGGCAATGACATGTGGTGGTTGTAGTAAAGCAAAATATTGTGGTACTCATTGTTTTAAACGTCATCACCTTCTAATAATAGGAGAAGGTGTGACTCTTAATAACAGATCAGGTAATTAATATACATGTACACCATGCATGTACATGTACAATTAATTAATTATTTATTTATTTTTATGTATAGATCACAATACACTCAAACAGAACCACACCCCTAAACCACACCACCATCATATATCAATGGCCCAACCATCAGCTGTCCACCGCCCACTT